CATAAACCAAGTTCCAAGAAACCTAGATATAGGATAGTCAACAATATGATCTTACTGTTGTTGTTTTTATTTCAAAGACAAAGAAAAATTCTGTGTTCTCTAGATAGAAAAAAACAAACACTCCTTAGTAAAAACAAAACAAATATTAACCTGACTTCAATTTTTTTGCATAGGATTCACTCATCAGTACTGCAAGATCTGTTTGCTAGGTCTGCAACAGCTTGAGGCAGAAGATATGACTGAATAATTTTTTCCTGTCAAGTTGTTATCAATTTTAAATGTAGATTAAGAAAATGTGTGGTTGAAATTCAGCCAACTTTACATATAACAAAATACTAATGATACCTTGGTTTTCAAGAAATGGTGGTTAAAAGAATGACAATGAGCATGAAAGGCATTTAAATATAAAGCAATAAACATTTCTGAAAATTTTGTGTATAGAACCAAATGTAAATGTCCTAAACCTTGACAATATAAAAATAATGTGAGACTATCTGGAAAAATATGTTGAAAGAGAAGTGACATAAGTGCTTTAGTGTGCTAATTGCCTTATATTTCTTAGAGGGACCAACAAAATGGTTGAAAATCAGAAAATCATAAAATAGCAATATATGTATATTTTTAAATAGAAATATCTATAAGTTATGTTATTAAGTGACAATCCCAAATACAGAATAAGGTGAAAAAAAAAGACTAATAAAATTATTGAAGAATCAAAGAACTTGTGAAGAATAACTATTATTTAACAATCGAGGGAGTTGAGGTCATGGAGTGGGAGGGAGAGGATTTTAATATTTATTTTACCTCCTGTACTATGTAGATTTAACATATTTATGTATTACTTTAACAAGAAAAAAACTATAGATACATTTATTGAAGGTAATCTATATTATTGTGTCATGACAGCATTATACATAAAAAAATACTAGAGTGTTTGAAATTTTTTCCCAAAACTCAATGCCACTGGTGTTCCCTAAAAATGTATATACACACTTTGAATAATTATAAAAGCAGTGTTTATTAAAATGTGTTTCATTTTCAAAATTGAGCTATCAGCTGTTAAAGTGTGTACACATTTTTGTAGGGACAGCCTATATTATTGTCTTTGGGGAGTTTACTTCTTGGTAATCCGATTTCTTTTCAAGGTTGGTAAAAGTCTTAGAAAAATTTTTTTTCATTACCCAGAACATTCTATTTTATTCAAAGATCCTTTCTTCCCTGAAATAATTATTTCTGAACCTCCAAGTTGAAACACTATTATACATAATACAAAGGATATTTCAGCATCCCCAGATTCCACTAAGGATCAGATTGAACTATACATACTGATCTCTAGATTTAAAGAGTCTCTCTACAAAGACATTAGAATATTGTATAGTTTATATGAGAACTTTGCATATCTTTTACATATGTGCAATAGTTTTATAAACAAACTTCATGTTTATACTTATATATTATTCCTTTAGTAAAAATGTAGACATTTCCATTCAAGAATGGACTTCTTACTCTCAAAAATATCTGCTGGAAAAAGCAATTTTAGTATTATTAAAAGTTTATTACAGCCCTAACTGGTTTGGCTCAGTGGATAGAGCGTCAGCCTGGTTTGGCTCAGTGGATAGAGGTACATGCCCAGGTTCGATTCTGGTCAAGGGCATGTACCTTGGTTGTGGGCACATCCCCAGTAGGAGGTGTGCAGGAGGCAGCTGATCAATGTTTCTCTCTCATTGATGTTTCTAACTCTCTATCCCTCTCCCTTCCTCTCTGTAAAAAATAAATAAAAATATATTTTTAAAAAGTTTATTACATAATGACAAATATACAAAAAGGAAACTCATTGTATTAATTGCAGGAAGTTAGGGTATACTAAATATTAGTCTCCATTAGGTAATAGCTTAATATAAAGTAAGTTGATATTTTACTCACATGCTGTTTAGGAATGCCTCAGGAAGCAGCACAGATGGGGGGCAGATTGATGGGGATTCTCTGCTTACACCATTATTCAAAGACTCAGGCTGTAGAAAGTTTGATGTTTATTACCTGGTTTCATGCTACCTTAGGCATTGCAATCTGATGAACTGGAAGGCGAAAACCTTGGAAAAGAACCATGCAATATTTCAGTCTGGAACTCAGTCACATGGCCATATCCAGCTGGATCAGGGGTGGGGAAACTAGATTAATTATGCATTGATGTTAGATGTAAAACTGGCTACACATTTCTGCAGCCATTCCCATCAAAGGTAGGGTGTTTCCCTTCACACCTTGAATCTGGTTTTACCCACATGACTTGCTGTAACCAAAAGAATATGGCATACGTGACTTATGCACAGTTTGAGCCTAGGACTCAAAAGGCTTTCAGCTTCTGCTCTCTCCCTGTTGGATTATTGCCATCATTGGAAATCAGTCTAAAGTGGATGGAGAGGTCACATGGAGGAAAACCTGGCCAACAGCTTGCCAACCACCATACATGAAGGTGAGGCCATCCTAGACCATTTAGCCCCAGTAACACCTATCAGTTAGTCGAGTGCCTTAGTAAGCCAAACCTAGACAATAAAAACTTAGCTGAACTCCACCCCCCAAATTGCCTTACAGAATTAAGAACAGCAACAACAACAAAATGGTTGTTCATTTGAACCATTAACTTTTTTTGGTAAATTGTTAGAGAAGAGAAGCTAACTTATTAAGGGTTCATAAGGAAAAGAAATAAATAGATGTGGCACAACTAGCATCTCTGTGATAATCATGACAGGAGAAAAATCTAAAATTATTTAGAATATCACAACTTCTCAAGTTTCTTAGTGATAAAAAAGAGTAGTTCCTTATGATTTTTAGGTTCTAGAAAATACCCAGAGGTGATACTTTATCGGGGATGATTATGATGCTTCTGTGCAGGTCGTGGCACATGTGCAAGATTATTTGAATTCAGGAAAATTAAAGCTAAAGGCATTTAAATAAGAAAAAAATGGATTGCTTCTATGTGATGTATAACTCATATTCATATCTTTCTTTTGAGCTATACAATAAACAGAATTTATATTTTACAGTAAAGTTTCCAATTTATCTGTGATAAACCTCAATTTGGGGCATTTAAAATGCAGTGTTTTGATTTTTGTTTTTGTTTTTTTTTCTAATGTAAGCTAATATATAGTTTCCAGACTAAAGATAATATACCTTTTTAGTTAAACTTTAAATGTTTAAAATAATTCTCAAGAAATATATTTATAAATTCAAGTAAGATAAAATGTCTTTGTTTTAGTAAATAAGCAGGCTTTGTAAATGATGCATAGTGAAACAAAATACAATTCATAGTATTTTATGATCTAATTTGCTTCATTTATAGAATTATCCAATTTCTCTTGAGCCTTTCATAATAACTGTGGTTTCAGCAAACATAAACATTTGTGATTTTTTTTTTCTGATTAGACTGAGGTACATTTACTCAAAATTTTGAGATTCATTAAGTGGTAGCAAACAAAATAATTCCTCAGACAAATGCACATTTTTCAGTTTACATATTATTGGGGGAAGGAGGAGAGAAGAATGTGCATTAACTGGTGAAATCCACCAAGCTGCATATCAATATTCTGTTACACCAAACAATTTAAAGACAAGAAAAATGTTCTAATATAATCTCAGATTATGTTTCATTTGGCTAAAATAGAGCTTAAGGTTGCTTTGCCATATTAAAAGTTTACTACAATAATTCTTCACATAAACATTTAGACTTGAACTTCAGGACTAAATATGGCATGATTATTTTGCTTTTAATCTGTCAAATAGCCAAAAATCGACAATTTAAAAACTACAACAAAGAAATGTTGAAGCAATATGACTCTTACATCATTGAACCACTTCTAATGGTTAACTGTTAGTATTTAACAAATTCAAAGAGTTAATGAATCCTTGCATTCATTCAGTCTTCTGTGCCTCAAAAGGCTTTCAGCTTCTGCTCTCTCCCTGTTGGAGTATTGCCATCATTGGAAATCAGTCTAAAGTGGATGGAGAGGTCACATGGAGGAAAACCTGGCCAACAGCTTGCCAACCACCATACATGAAGGTGAGGCCATCCTAGACCATTTAGCCCCAGTAACACCTATCAGTTAGTCGAGTGCCTTAGTAAGCCAAACCTAGACAATAAAAACTTAGCTGAACTCCACCCAAATTGCTGTCTTACAGAATTAAGAACAGCAACAACAACAAAATGGTTGTTCATTTGAACCATTAACTTTTTTTGGTAAATTGTTAGAGAGCACAAGCTAACTTATTAAGGGTTCATAAGGAAAAGAAATAAATAGATGTGGCACAACTAGCATCTCTGTGATAATCATGACAGGAGAAAAATCTAAAATTATTTAGAATATCACAACTTCTCAAGTTTCTTAGTGATAAAAAAGAGTAGTTCCTTATGATTTTTAGGTTCTAGAAAATACCCAGAGGTGATACTTTATCGGGGATGATTATGATGCTTCTGTGCAGGTCGTGGCACATGTGCAAGATTATTTGAATTCAGGAAAATTAAAGCTAAAGGCATTTAAATAAGAAAAAAATGGATTGCTTCTATGTGATGTATAACTCATATTCATATCTTTCTTTTGAGCTATACAATAAACAGAATTTATATTTTACAGTAAAGTTTCCAATTTATCTGTGATAAACCTCAATTTGGGGCATTTAAAATGCAGTGTTTTGATTTTTGTTTTTGTTTTTTTTTCTAATGTAAGCTAATATATAGTTTCCAGACTAAAGATAATATACCTTTTTAGTTAAACTTTAAATGTTTAAAATAATTCTCAAGAAATATATTTATAAATTCAAGTAAGATAAAATGTCTTTGTTTTAGTAAATAAGCAGGCTTTGTAAATGATGCATAGTGAAACAAAATACAATTCATAGTATTTTGTGATCTAATTTGCTTCATTTATAGAATTATCCAATTTCTCTTGAGCCTTTCATAATAACTGTGGTTTCAGCAAACATAAACATTTGTGATTTTTTTTTTCTGATTAGACTGAGGTACATTTACTCAAAATTTTGAGCGGTGGCTGAGGCTGCTGTTGAGGCAGCTGGCTTTGCACCAATGATGGTGGTTGAATTAATGGCTGAGACTGCTGAATTATAGTTTGAGGAGGCAGAACTGATTGGGTTGGTGGTGCCTTTACCACCAACCCTTTTTCATCCCAAGTTCCAATATTCATGTTGTGTTTTATAGGAGGTGGTGGCACTGCAGAACCCCCAATTCCTACATTGCCCTTGGGTTTAAGTTTCGGTTGAGGTTTGGCAGGCGTTCTGGCAATGGCGGCCCAGGAGGTTGGTTTAGGTGCTGCACTGCTAACTGGGGGCATACTATTGGTTGCAATGCTAGTCATACCACTGCTGCTCAAGGCTGTACCTACAGTTTTTGTCACTGCAGCTGTCAGGTCACCACCAATTTTCAGTCCCGTCATGCCTTGCTCAATACTGCTAATGCCAGGCACCTTACTCAAAGTATCATTGCCAAATCCAGCCTGTCCATCAGTAATAGCTCTCCCAAGAGAACTAGGTGGATAGCCATAACTGCTACTATAAGCAGAACTTTGCATTGATTGTCCCTGAGATCTACTTGTCCCCCACGTAGAGAAATCAGCATTACCAGGAAAAAAGTTAAATCCATGCTGACCAAGAAATGGAGGGGTATTTCCTAATGCCCCAGGTTGACTAAACACACCATCTGGTATATAATGATGTTCTCCATTACTCATTTGTCCATAAGTTGTCAGATATGGCATAGGTTGGTCTCCAGCTGTGGACCATGCTGCTTCCCCAAGAGAATATGGAAATCCAATGGATGGAGCATAGTAACTAGGCATGTATGGATCTGGCGTTGGTGGATAGCTGTTACTCTGATTTGTCTGGCTACTTAAGTATGGCTCAAAATCATCATCATTTACAGCATCTTTTTCATGAATG